ACATGCAACGCTGATACTATTAATATAGAGTAGTCTACTATATTAATATCTAGCAATAATATTATTGCGTTGTTAAGATATATTACTTTAAAGTTGCAAAAGTTAGTAGGGTGACTAACTTGCTTGTCTAACTAACTTGCTTGCTAACTATGTTATACCCTATTCTTACTAGCCTAATAAGTAGACCTCTAGGAGTAGAGAGTAAGGTTAGAAAGTAGAAAACTAAGCAAAGGCTTATTACTATCTATTATATAGGTAGCTGTTTTTTTAGGTTTTAGTATTGTTGTAGATAAGATCTTTAATAAGATAATGTCGCAGCAGATATCATGCCTATTTACCAGCCAATTTAGGGGTGCAAATGTATGTACATTTTGCCTCTATTTTGGCTGCAACAGTTATAAGCCCAGACGCTAAAACTGTGCAAGCAAAGATTGAATGGATTTTCGTGTTCTATAGGTGACCACAGCTAAGGGTCTTGGCATAGTACCTACTCTGTTGGCGTGCTATCTACAGCAATAGAGCATCGCGAAGAAGGATTTATCTATTACTCAGCATATTAGGCATTCTACTGCATTGTGTCACCTCTAATTATGCTGTCCTAGTTGGACGTAAGGGGGTGTGTCACAGCAGATATTATGCCTATTTACCAGCCAATTTAGGGGTGCAAATGTATGTACATTTTGCCTCTATTTTGGCTGCAACAGATAAGATTTTCTAATAAGGTGGGTAGTCTGTGTGGTGAAAATTTAAAAATTTGAACAGGAGGGCGGCACTCTTGCACCAGGCAGCGCGAGGCAACCAGGTGACTAGAGGCTGTGGGAGTTTCAGGGTAGTGTATCCCAGTGGGGTTGAGATGAACGCAGGCTCGAAGAGAGGTATCCGGAGAATTTGTGTTTTGATGTGAGCTCGCCTGTGGAGTGCGTTATAGAGAGTTAAAATTAACCTATAACGTACCTCACGGGCGAGTGGCCGGCCCGGGCGAGTGACCGGATTTTGCCAAGACCACACCACACTTCATACAACCCGCGATGTCTCAACGCAAAAAGGCTTAAAGCGTCTTAAAGGAACTAGATATACAGCTTGCTATTTAGGCTCTTAAATAAGACGCGACTCTTACTATTCCACGCGCTGCAACAATCTATAAGGTGTTAGAAAGAACACTAATACAATAACGTGCTAGAACGCTCTTAAGATACAATTGTCAGATGCTCGTACTGTTAGCCAGAGTATGTGCTTAACAAGATCTTAGGTGGTATGATGATATATTGATGATCGTGGCGATGGTGTTTCTGCCGTGGCGTCGTGCTGGTTGCTACAGGATTGAAGTGGGGGGGAATTAGCGCTGTTCGCGGCCGCCAGTGTGCGGGCCAATTAGGAGTTGCCAGGTCTCGCTTAATTGACCTAGCAACTACTAATTGGCTGCACGACAGGTCCCTGCTCAATTGCGCAGATCTAACCTCTTGCTGCTTGCTCTTATCTAACACACCCCCTTTAGCTTAGAAACTCTTTAAGCTAACTATTTATGCGCGTGTAAGGTTCTTAATTTGTTCTTAAATCCTGTCTAGAGGCACGCTGTTTAGCACTTCTGTTAACTCCCTGTTTACTAGACTAAGTTGCTAGAGGAAACCTTCCTACTTGTTTACTAGGAGTACCTTTGTGAGTCTGTCTGCTATTATGCTTGCAGACTAGACGTGTTCTATAATAATCTTTCTAGCGGCCACCTCCTATTAGAGCTAGTGGTTGTGGATATCTACATGCTGAAGTTTAGTATGTAGTTGCAACACTTCCTTAGTAACTAGTTAAATTGTTTGTTTGTTATCACATTGTATTGTAATAGCGTATGCACCTATATTAATGTGTAGTTTGCGCAAGAGCTGTAAGATAAAGAGTGCTTCTTTTGCAACCTAGGTAAGAGTAAGAAGCTTAGCCTTAGTTATTAATGTTGTTACTGTGTCCTGCTTGTTTACTTTCTATATAATAAGGCTGCTAAAGAGTTTAATTGCGTAGCCTTAGGAGCTCTTTCTGTCTATAGTGTTGTCAGCGAAGGACGCGTTACTTGCTACCTAGAGGCTGATGCCTCCTCTAAGCTGCAGTAATCGCTGTTTAGTGTTGAGTAGATATAGAAGGACCCAGTCCGCAGCATCTTGGTGGCTGATGCCTGGATTGGTGAGGAACCTGGCAAGCCTTGATGTAGCGAACGCAATGTCAGGTCGCGTGGTGACCACAGCGAACAGCAGTGATCTAATTTTGCGTTGATACTTGTTGATTTCTGCTGGCGCTGCTAGTCCACTCCTTGGCTGTAGTTTAGTTGTTGCTATTGGAGTGTTATGTCGTATAGTTGTGTTCTTGGCAAGGCGACTAATTTTATCTAAGTACGCTGCCTAAGATAGGTAGATTTTCTTGCTTGCTTGGTCTTGTATAATCTCTATACTAAGGAACTACTATAGGTCGTGCCCTCCTATGCAGGTGTAGGCTGGCGGAATGGGTATACTCCAACGTCCTTCGTGGGTACCCCCCAAAACTTTGTCAATAATACATGAATTCTAGCAAAATAGGGCTTAAAAGAAAGAGAAAAACCACCTCTACATTTCTGTAGTAGAGGGTTTTGTTATAACTATTAAACTGCACAAGCTAGAGGCTAGAAAAGGTCAAAAAAGGGGGGGTTCCTAGCGAGCATACCCATTGATAGGTATACTTTGCTAGGTAGTGTTGATAACTTAGCTAATACTAGGCAGAATAAGCTAATTCTTTTTTTATTAGAAGGCGCAATACTAGGCGCTTCTATCAAATAATAGATTATGTAAGCGTATCTCTGCTAGTTAAGAAGCTATAAGCCAAAACGTAAAAAAGCATACCCTACCCATCCGCCAGCCTATGCAGGTGTACTTGCTCTGTACGTGGCTAATTGTCTGCATTACCTCTTGCTCTTTTAATTTATTATATGTGAGGATAATATTGTTAATATAAAAGAAGATAATAATACTGCCCTTAGTTAGATAGCAGGGTTTGTGAGGCACAGTCTAGAAACCTAGTGCTTTTAGTGTTGCAGTAAAGTTCTTCTGCCAGAGGAGGGGAGAGATGCGCAGGCTGTAAAGTGCCTTATTTACTTGCAGTATCGTGCTGGGCTTCTAATAGCCTTGTGGCATCCTTATGTAGACCTCTCTGTCTATTGTAGCATGAACAAACGCGTTGGTAACGTTGTATTATTTAAGCTCTATGTTATAGTGAGCTGCTATAGCCATTATTGTTTAAAAGGATTAGCTAGCAAGCGTAGCTATGTAGGTGTCTTATAATGTAATATTACGTTGTTAATCACCTCTAACTACTAGTTGCGCCTTGCACTTTAGTAGTTAATAATGTCTATTAAGCTTATAGGTATATACCTACATGCAGTTAAGGATCTGTTGTCCTATTAGTCTAGTTTTTTAAAGTAGTACTTCTAACTATAATTTTATTTCTTAGTAGCTTATAAGGTGCTCTTGCTTAGCTTCTTAAAAGAGTTTACCTATAGGGTAATCCATAAGCTTAGTTTAGAACATAGGTAGAGGTAGAAGTTAACTTTAATAGGGCTTTAAGCCTTTAGCAAGCATTCTTATTATCTTAGCCTTGTCTATAACTTCTCCTCTATATGTTCTAACACGTCCAGCTTAGGTTCCTGCAAGGAATGATGCTGCCTACAGGACAGTAGTTAAGGACGCTTGTTGCGTTAGAGTTGTTTAATCACTAGCCATAATGCCTGCAAGTAGTGCTGCAGGTGGCGGTGTTAATAGAGGGGTAGGATAGCTATCCTGTATCTTCTGTCTGTGATAGTAGCCTAGCAGGTCTGCTTTGTCTTGTAGTGATGGCTCTGCTAGGGCTTCATCCTTATAAAAGGAATCTGTTTCTAGTTGCTAGGTAGGCGTTAGTAGCTTAATAGATTATATATATATTGCTATTTCTTTAAGTGTATTATGTATAAGGTTCTCTATAAGATTCTTAATTCTCCTATTAAATACTATGTCTTTGTTAAATATAATATCTTAAGTACTTATTACCTTACTAAGTAATAGTATCTAGATTTAATAGATATTTAATAACTAGTAGCCTACTAGATAGCCTATCTAGGCCTTTAGGTCTAGTTGTTAAAGACATAATTTACCTCTATATATATTGTCTGTTATAGCAAACACTTTACACCTATATACTCTTAGGTGCGTAAGGCTAGGTTTTTATAGTAATATTACTATTCTATTGCTAAAGGTAACTTGCGTAAAGAATATTTTGTATAGTGTTTTCTAATAGTTTGTGTAGTTTGGCGTTTGATTGTAGAGGTATACTGCTGCCCTCGTGCTTTCTGGCCACAGTTCCTAGGAGAGGTTAGCATCAAGTCGCATTGCGCGAGCTTTCTCCTTGTTCACACCCCCTAAGCGTTCTATGTTACCATTCTGTGCTTGTGTGTCTAGCGCTAAAGGCTCCACAATAATTCCTTGTGTTGCTAGCCATTTTAATACGCCTAGTTTAACTGTGGCTATCTTGTTATCTACCTTAATAGTCTTAACTAAGATATTATAGTAATTTTTTAAGAATAGGATAAATATTAATAGTGCCTTAATAATTAACTTTGCTGTGTAATAATCTGTAAAGTAGAGGTCCTACTATAGGCCTAAGAACCTATTAGTAATAAGTATCTAGCTCTTTTCTTTAGTAACTCCTTATACTTTATAGGAGTAGAAGTTAATGCTAAGTCTTTCTCTAGGTCTATTATTATTAATTCTTAGTGCGCAGCTAATTTGCTGTTGTAATTTAGCTATTCTACAAGCGTTGTATTTAACTATAGTAATGCCTTAGATCTGCACCCCCTAAGTCTGCTAGACAATGTGTTCAATTGTAGCAGGACTAGGGTAACTAAGTCGCTTGTGCCACTGTATTGCTAAGGCCTTCTGTAGTCCTCTCTTAGTGCATGTAGTGATTTTGTATGTGTGGTTAGCAGCTAGTAGGGACAGTTTATACTTAAGCACCTACTAGCTAAGTATTTCTAATACTACTCTAATTACTTAGCTATTTGCTTATTAGAGAGTTGTTAGGTCTACTTGTGTGTCCTACTACATGCCTCTGTTTTAGACTGGCGGATGGGTACCATGTACCTAGGGTAGGGTATAGGTAGGGTATAGGTCGCACGGACGTAGGTATAGGTAGGGTAGGGTCGCACGGACCATAGGTATAGGTAGGGTAGGGTTACACGGACCATAGGTAGGGTAGGGTAGCACGTGACTAGGTATAGGGATAGGGAGGGTAGCACGTGCTAGGTATAGGTTTGGTTTGGGTATATTACTAACCTAGTTTGTATACAACTAACCCTAGGTTGTACTAGTAGATTCTTTCGCATACACAATACTTAGAAGAAAAAGCATCTATAATTTATTATCACAGTCTATTATCACATACTTATGCTCTAAAGTATACAATAGTACAAAGTCTAGAGTAGTAACCTAGATTTTGCTAATAACTACCCATTCCTAGACCCTACCTAGCTACCCTACCTATACCTATACCTAGTCACGTGCTACCCTACCTATACCTATACCCAGTCACGTGCTACCCTACCCAAACCGTTTGGGTAGGGTACCTCATGTACCCTACCTAGTTCCTACCCATAAATCACGTGACTATACCTATACCCTACCCTACCCTACCCATCCGCCAGCCTACTCTGTTTTATAGTAGGTAGAAGGACACTAGGTTATATAGCAGGTCTAGGCAAATTGCTATGTCTGTAAGGGTGACCTTAGTTGTCCTAGCTCTACTCCTTAGGAGTAGATTAATTAATCTATATCCTCTAACTAGCACCTTAGAATTCCTAGCCTATATGAAGTCTCTAGGTAATAGCTGTTAGAACCTATAGACACAGTTAGGGTTGTTAGTAATATAACAGGTAGAACCTAAGTTAAGTATAAATAACTTCTATAGTAGATAGTTAGTAGTATCCTGTTAGTTTACTATACTAAGCACTACTTTAATATTAGCAATTTCTTAGCCTTCTAGTTAATTATCTAGGATTTCTAGGGTAGGGGTGTGTAAGTGCTTTACTACTAGTATTCTTAATTAGCTCTTGCTTTGTGTGCAAAGTAGCCCTTAAAAGGTAACATCTTTCTTATACTTAAACTTAATAAGTTTAGAAATAATCTTATTTAGTTTCTACTACTTAGGAGCTCTGTCTTAATTAACATAGTAGTAATCCTGTATAGAGTGGCGTTGTCCACATACAGGGCATTTTAGTCCCCTAGTAGAAGCAAGCTCTTAATCTAAAGGCTGCTTAAGCGTGGTAGTTTTCCTACCTACTGTATATTAATATTAAGGTCTGCCCTAGTTAGATAGCACGCTTACAGCATGTTAGGCATCCCCTTTATAGCTCTAGGAGGCTGCACCCCCTTTAGCAAGAAACACTGCATTATTAGCTATAAAGGCCTTGTGCTGCCCTAATCTAAGGGGATAATTTATTATTATATACTCTTAGTAGCGTTTTATTATCTCCTTCTAACTTATACTAGATTTAAAGCGTCTACTATCTTGAAAGCTTATAGCCTACATAGGCGCGACCCTGTTTATAGCTATTAGGAAGTCCTTTATTATTACATTTAATTGTAATAATTTAGCAACTTTGTATGTCTCTGCTTCTGTAGCTGCCTAGTCATACTCAGCTAGCTAGGTATCCTATTGTGACGTGCTTCTTATTAGCTTAAGTGCTAAGAGGTATCTATCTTAGGCTTATTCTTGTTTAATTTATTTATTAACCCTAATAGTAAGTTGTAGGTCTGTAATCTACTGTTGCAGTAGTTTCTTAGGAAGACAGCATGTGCGTAGTAGATGTAGCAATATAGTTAACTAGATAAACATAATAATATACTAAAGGCTTGCTTCCTCCTTCTTATATTTATATTAATTGTTCTTGTATTATTTAAGGAGTACTTTATAATACTTAAGGTCTTCCTTAAATGCCTTCTAGCCTGTTGTTAATAGCTTAGTTAGCCTTAATAGTATATTAGTGTTCGCAGCTAGCGCGTAGTTAGTAATAGTTAGAGCCCTTAGCAAGAGTAGCTTTAATAGTAGTAGTGTAGTTGTCTTTAGGTTGATCTTGTCCTAGATGTTGCGCGACAGGCATCTCGCCTGTAGCTGCGCGAGCCAGCCAGTCTAGTCAGCTTGGTCCCTAAGGACTGTTGTTGGGTCGCGGTACGCTAGTTGCGCCATTTTAATTGCGGCAGTGAGGTTGCGGCAGTTTAGTTGCGGCAGTGAGACTGCAGCAGTTTAGTTGTGGCAGTGAGACTCTTAATTGTCAGATGCTTGTACTGTTAGCCAGAGTATGTGCTTAACAAGATCTTAGGTGGTATGATGATATATTGATGATTGTGGCGATGGTGTTTCTGCCGTGGCGTTGTGCTGGTTGCTACAGGATTGAAGTGGGGGGGAATTAGCGCTGTTCGCGGCCGCCGGTGTGCGGGCCAATCAGGAGTTGCCAGGTCTCGCTTAATCGACCTGGCAACTGCTGATTGGCTGCACGACAGGTCCCTGCTCGATTGCGCAGATCCGACCTCTCGCCGCTCGCTCTTATCTGACAACAATTGTAAGGTTAACTTAATAAAGCTAACAAGCACTAAAGAGGAGGTGGTTGTGTAGCATGTTCTGAAGCTAGACAAGCAAGGATACCCACCCTAGCTTACTAATGTAGAGGAAATGGCCAACTCTCCACTTACTAAGCGCCACCAGCCTCCTGTTGGCAAGAACTAGGCTAGCACGTTCGTTAAGCGTTGCCTAGAGCTCACAGTCAAGTTCAATTAAAAGTACAGCTACAAGAGAGCCCTCTGTAATAATTCTAAGGTAATCTAGGGCTAGTTCTGCCTAGTAGAAAATACTAAAGCTAAGTATAGTATCCTAGATAAAGACACCTACAATTTCAACAAGTCTAGGTTTATAATAGGTGTTATATTAACAGGAGCTGTTGTTACAGGCTTAGAGCGTCGTGGAAGACTAAAGACAGTACAGCAGGGCAACCAAGAGTAGACCAGCATCATCTAGGGTATTAACCCTAACCAGGTCGCAGAGCTTTAAGCTGCCAATAAGGCTGCCACACGCCATAAATCACACAAGAGGAAGCGGATCTAGAGGGAGGGGACTCTCACTGTTAGTAAAGGAGTGCGCTTAACTACCCTAAAGGAGTTTGAAGCCTGTAGTGATAGGAAGAAGGTAAGCAAGAAGAGGCGTGTTAAACTAGGCACTTAATCTTTACAACACTGTGGTAGGTGTAGTAAGGCACAGCACAACGCGTGAACGTGCATAAAAGATGCACAAGATACTGTAGATTAGTGCTGTATACTATAAGTTACAGTAACTTGCAGTAACTTGCTGTAATATGCAAGAGAAGTTGAAGTTTGGTGTGGTCTTGGCAAAATCCGGTCACTCGCCCGGGCCGGCCACTCGCCCGTGAGGTACGTTAGTAACTCTAATAAAGTACTTCTATTTCTAAGCTAGATAACTCTTTATCTAGCTTTAAAGATACTAGATTTTGCTACTTTTACTAGTAAAAAGCGGGCGTTGCGTGACTCTGGGCGTTGTGCGCACAGACATGGTACTAAGTTTGTTTAACAGCTTAGACTGAGAGATGCTAAAGATTGCTATTTAAAAGCAGAAGCACTAGACAGTCCTAAGCTAGCAAGCTTAACTTACTAGTATTAGGATAACATAGGTAAGAGAACTTTAGTTAAATAGGAAGATTACTTTAGTTAAGACTACATCTAAGGGAGCGTGTAACCACATGGCTTAGATCACATGATATTCTATTGTAGCAGGTACTGCCTGGTGGGCAAGTGCACTTACCTGAGAGCTGAGAGCTTGAACAACACAACATCACAACACAGCAACAGATAGCAATACACTCGTTGATCATAGTCTTCGACCGATACTGCTCACGCAGTTACAAAGTAAAACCGATGGGAGGCAGCCGCATTTAGACTGAGGTCAAAACGTCCACGAAGCAAGATTGATGCATCCACCATGTTGTGCACAAAAGCTGCAAACGCATCAAATCACATTGAAGACCTTGATCTGTGTACATACTCATCAGCAAACATTGTCGGCCCTACAATCGAGCCTTCGTTCTTGGTCTCGGACTACATCACGCCTAACCACCTCTCCGCCCATGGCATCTAGAACATGCTGTGGTTGTCGCCAAGATATATAGGGCCTGCGAAGAAAAACGAGAGGTAGTCTGATGGGGCGCTCGGCTAGAAAGACCCGAGATGTTATACCCGATCTGGGTTCTCTGTACAAGCCCTGATTGGTGCGTACACTGAACTTGCCGCATGTGGTGTCCATATGCTTTCAAACATTTCCGCCCTGCAACACTGCCTATGGCTTCGGCATGACTTTTCACTAGCCTTTTACGCGCAATATGACCATTGGCCCTGTTGAGACTGTCGATAATTGCCGTGCCAGGCGCCTGCACGAGTCCAACTTCTGAACTGTGGTGATCCCAAAATGCACATAGACGCGACCATAGCTTTTGGCGTATGTTGCAACAGGATTCGCCTCCAGGGCAAACTTATTGCCATCCATGTTAAGGTTTCAATCGAGGAACTCACATTATGGTAGATAAGCACTCAAGGCCACGCCAAGTACCGTGCACAGATTATTGAATTGAACAAGTGAGATAGTGGGAAGAGCCAGAAGCCAGATCGTGCTGGTAAGCCCCAAGTTGGTTGTTATTGCATCTGGCAGCGACAAAGATGATCAAAATTTGCGACTTTCCGGCTATTGTAGCGATATGCAGCTGTTTCAAACAACGCAAAGTCATCTCAGCGTCTTAAAAGCCTTGTTTTAGTGTTTAGGGTAAGTCTAAAAGCATTACCAACATGTGTTGAGGGACTCTTTTTACAGTATCAGGATTGTCCTGCACGCTACCGTACTTGTTTAGTGCACATAAACGATCTTGAAGCGAGCGGGAACCAGTCACCCTAAGTCCAAGCTGCAAAGAAATGAGCTAGTTTTGATGGTATCTTGGGTACCATTGTAATGACCGTCGAGTGGGGAAAGCCAACTCTGGATGCGCAAGCGCAGAGTCACATCAGTTGAATCATTGAGCTGGCCCCTTAAAGCTTCTCAACAGCGATGATCTGTCCCTCAGCACTGAAGTCGATCCTCTTTCTGATCAAGCTCTCCTTGACAGGGTTCTTAGCCTCAAAGATCAGATCCAATTCCTCAAGTGTACGCTTCTTGGTCTCAGGAAGCAGGAAGTAGAAGACAGCAGTTTGAATGGCATCCCAGACTGTGAAGACGATGTAAGTCTTCCATCCAATATTTGCCAGCGAAATGGGCCATGCAAACTGGCCAAGCAGTCCACCAGCATTGACAGCGAGCGCAGAAAAGGCCATACCTTTGGCGCGCATCTCAAACGATAGTACTTCGACGGGATAGAGAGCCTGAAGCGGGGTGAGTCCGATAGAATAGGACATGCCGAATAGGAAGATCATTGCTACTGTGGCTTTGGCAGCAGATGTATTGGTATCGCCACTAGCCGCAAATTGAGATGAGGAAATTGTCATGGCGACCCAGACCACAGTACAGGCAGCCATAGAGCCGAGAAACATAGGGCGACGACCAACCTTCTCAACGAAGGCGGCACCAATGAGCGCAAACGCGAACTGGAAACAAGCGTAAGCCAGGTTGATGTTGGCCTGCTCTACGTCCTGGGTGTAGCCGGATGTCTTCAGCACTGCGGGCAGGAAGTAAGTCAGAACGCCGTTGCCTGCCCATTGCGCAAAGATTGAGAAGACGATGTTGCACGTCAGGCGATAGCGACTCGCACGTGAGCGGAACAGGGCACTATAGTCCCACCAGCGCTTGTCGGCGCCGTCGAGCTCGAGGAACTCTTCGTATTCGGATAACTGGAGCTTGACCCAGGCCGATTCTGGGTTTCCATAGCCATGCCAGTGGGTGAGAACCTCCTTGGCTTGAGCGATCTTGCCGTGGACGTAAAGCCAGCGGGGCGACTCGGGCGCGAACCAGATGAAGACGAGGATCATGGAGGGAAAGACGAGTTGAAGCCATATGGGAAGGGCCCAGGTGGTGTCTCCAGTAAGATTCAGGCCACCACGGACAGAAGCAGCAGCGAGAATAGAGCCCACAAACCAGAAGGTATTGCAGTACGCGGTGATGACGGAGCGCATGGCAGGGTGGGCGGTCTCGACAACGTAGATGGGCCCGGCAGCTGAGACGATGGTGACGCCGAATCCGAGGACAAAGCGTCCACCCTTGAGTTGTGGGTTAGAGCCGTTGATTATGGTCAGTCCATTGACGATAGTGCCGATGATAATCAACAGAGCGCCAGTGACCATACCCATGCGACGGCCGAAGTTGTCGATTATGGGACCAGCGAAAGGAAGCGCGACAACAGCACCAATTTGGTACATGGCAGAGGTGATTGCTGCCCATGGGCCGTCAGGAGCGCCATCGAACTTGTCCAGGAAGGTTGTGTTGGCCGTTAAACCACCGAATAAGCTCCCGTCGAATCCGTTGACGGTCTGACAAAAGAAGCCTAGCAGAAGACAACCAGCCAGTGCGATTGTTCGGAGATGAAACCTGGGAATGGGTTCAAGAGTGTTGGCCTCGTGAAACGCTTCGCTGCCCTTAAGCGTCTTGACCTCGACGATCTCATGCTGTGAGCAGTGTTAGTGGTGTCTCCGCGAGTTGTAGGTAGTGTTGGTGTACCTTCGCGTCATGCTCGATCTCAGCCTTGTGGTCTGACATTGTTGCTTGGGTGTATCAGGTCGTAGGGAAGATTCAAAGTCTTGTGCGATGCAGGCTGAAAGGGTCGAGGAGACGCCCTGTATATGTACACAATCTGAATAGTAAGGCTGCGTGGTCCAGGTCTGCCCTGTGCGCGCCATCAACGCGGTACGGGAATCTCAGGCCGACATACCGCCCAAGCGTGACTAGCGAACTCATTTCAAACCAGATGTGCGGGGACTCCGGTCCGCATCCAAATCGGCCTGGCGCACGTTGACAAGCAAGAGCATGGAGCAACTCCATCTCACCTCGCCTCTCCAAGTATCTACCTTACGCTCTGGTTAGCGGCCTAGGGTCAGGCAAGAGATCATTCGGGTTTTCGCCAAATTCGCAACAGCTATCGCAGCGTTTCTCCATAAATCAAGAATGCTTGTTCATCCACCCTCCCTGTCGGAATCCCCCATGCATCGACATATATCCACATGTGCCCCATGGGCAGATGCGCATAAGCGCACGGGATCTCCGCCCCGACAAAGTCTTTACGCCAGGGAGGGTGGGTCTGTGGAGATGATGAGAGGGGAGGGTCACCCGTCTGGTCCGCAGCTTCGACCCCGCAAGGCCGGGGCTCCAACGTGATAGGCCTGAGCTCGATTCCCTATGGGGCGCGGTGCTGTTCCTCCGTGTCGGGCAGGGCGCTCCGCGTCCCCGATAAACGAAGATGATTGGCTGCTGTCGCGAACACCGGCCCTGCTCGCCAAGTTCTTCCGATACAAGAGTATTGTCGACCCTAGGATCGAAGACAGGTATTCTAGGCTCGTGCACTCCGTTCAGCCTTAAGAGCCTTTGAGGCGGTTTAAAATGATGCTACGATCATTGATAAATTCTGCGTGGCATAATGCGTCCGCAAGTTCGGATCATGCTGCCGGAGCTGCTGCAGCGTGCCAAGATAAGTTTGACGCTCCCTATTTTCGTATGAACTCATGTCGTGCTGCACGGCAAATGGCAGTATGTTGGAGACGCTAGCCACCAACAATACATACCTTCGCCGCCTTCTCGTCTCCTATCATCATCAACTAGTTGAATGACGTTGTCTAACGGCAAAGAGTACCGTAATGTATAGAGAAGAGGAATATATCTTGGACTGGACAGTGTTGAGATATACCTGGAATGATCCGTTGATAGTTCAGCCAGTTTAACAGCACAATCTATCGTGTTTCGAAAGATCGGAGTGTACAGAAGAGCTGTCGCAGCAGATATCATGCATATTTACCAGCCAATTCAGGGGTGCTAATGTATGTACATTTTGCCTCCTTTTTGGCTGCAACAAGAGCAGATTCATTCCTCACAATGTGTGTCCATGCGAACGGAGGACAAAACGAGCAAAACTTCGACACAGAGGCGATTTCCACGACAAACCGTCCATCCAACCACAATGTCACGATGAGCACTCATCAATTTGCAGCTCGAACCTACACTTGTCCAAGCAGATAAGCCAGCAAAGCTGACGACTTTCTTGGTCGCGTCGTCGATGCTGCACCTGCAAATGTGGGTGGTCCTGGAAGAAGCGCAATTGTCAACATGTCATGTTCATTACTGAAAAGCTTATGTGGTGCATGCGACGGCGAGATAAGGTATCGATATGGGCTTCGTACAGTTGCTTTGATCTGCACTCTTAATCCAGCTGAGCTCTTCCCAGCGTGTGGTCTGTCATTGATCCTCAAACATGAGCAACAACTTGGATTGCCGATGTGTCATTGCGATACTGAGGCAACTCTTGATACCGTGTCCGTGCACCCAATGCACGGAGTCAGCCAATGCACGCTCCGAGCCTGTACGGCCACCGTTAAAGTGAGGCTATAGAGCCGTATACAATAGCTGTTTTTGTGGGAGCTTTTTGTGGTTTAATCTATAGACCTACTCGACAAAGTTTCTCTTACAAAGTTATTGATATTTAGTGGCAGTGCGGCCGCTACAGTGGTAATAGTTACGCGTGGTATGTAACAACGTGCTGCCAACAATGGCCCGATACCTACCGGCACCACTAGGGTACGGTCCAGCGACTCATGACCATGGCCCTTGTCGCAGGGCATGAGGTCGCACCAAACTGCCTCTAAACCTCCCTTTATGAGGAGCTAGGAACTGTAGCATTATAGAGTAGTTTTTCTGTATCCTTTCGTGCAAGACCGATACCGGTAGGTGTAGCGTGCACGGCCTCGTAGTGCACACCGGCGCGTAATGCACACCCCACCACCTTTTGCACCCCCAAATAAGTGAGGTTATTGAGCAACATCACAATGCTGGTATTGCGAGATAAGTTAGTAGATTACTATATAGACTATTGCAAAACTTTTGGCTACCATAGTTTTCTAGGAAGACGCGTGGTACAGCCAGTTAGACTGGCGGATGGGTACCATGTACCTAGGGTAGGGTATAGGTAGGGTATAGGTCGCACGGACGTAGGTATAGGTAGGGTAGGGTCGCACGGA